AGCTCACCGATCTCCAGGATGGTGAACTCATCCGGCGAGGCGAGCTCACCGATCTCCAGGAGGGTGAACTCATCCCACGAGCCGAGCTCACCGATCTCCAGACGAGCGAACTCGCCACACGGTGGGAGTTGGCTCGTGGGCCGAGTTGACCATAGACCAACACTCTCACTCTCACAGTCTCAAGTTCTAACATAGTAAACGAGCACACTCGCGAAACGAGGTGCAATAAAGTACCAAGAGAATGTGTACTGTGGTGAGCACAGGGACCTGAGGCGGGAAAAAAAGTGTTAAATATATAAATAGAAGGAATATATATTTATTTAGGAATATTTAGGAATTATAAATATTCTTCTATTTATATATTTATAAAATTATAACTTTTCTTTTTTTTTTCGCCTCAGGTCCCTGTGGTGGTGAGCACTACAAGTAGTACAACAGAGGTAATAATTACTAGTGTGAGCAGTACCGACAAGTCACAAGCCTACAGCAAGTCAATGACAGTGACAGTGACACTGAATACACAATGTGCACACAGTCTGTACAGTACTGACACTGACAGTGACAGTGTGAACACTGAACAGAACGCTCACCCATTAAAATTCTCATTTGTTTCTTGCCGAACAAACGAGAAAACAACGACGAAATTGTCAACCCCATGGCTTGCTGTGAGATCGCGCAACCTTATAATCGCTAAAGTTAATCCTGTCAACGTAAATCCGATGTCAATAAACTAAAAAGACTAAAGACTACAGACTAGTACAGTGTTGCCACGTATAAATTCCACATACGCCGTTGATGATGTTTTTGGGCTGTGTGGTAGCGAATTTCATAGGTAGGATATTTGGTATCTTTTACCGAATATTGTTTACGATATATTAAAAAATAATAGGTACAAAATGAAAAATATTCAAAATTACAAGTTCAATTATTTATATACAAGTTATTTTGTGGACATGCATAGATAAGTTAAATTATAAATACAAAGAGGATACCAAAATTGTATTGTTACACACGGCTATGTCATTGCCATCTACCGGGAAATTTAAATCACTTTATTGAAACCTTTTCGAGAAGTAGTCTCAGTAGAGTCATTTTAGAGTGTGATTACGTGATCAAAGAAATGAAATGTACGATTTTAATGTAGTTTAGGGTTGCTGTTACACTTGCAGGGAGATGGCTGTTGAGACACGTGCAGAAAGCACGGATTTTGCACGGATGCACAATGAACTTCCATGCAGGTCCCAGCAAATTGACTCGCTTCTTGGTTTATTTGGAGAGGTAGGTAAACATCATACTCATAGCATATCATAGCATTGGCATTGTTAGTAAATAAATGTTGATTGTTGTTGTTTTGTGTTGCACTACAAATGTTAATTGATTAGTGTGATGAGTCCTTGGCGCATGAAATGATTGCATTCCTGTTTGTGCTTTCAGCCTTCACACTGGACCTACCCGAGTCTATTTATCTACGGACATACTGCAACTGGGAAAACCTTGGTCGTCACGGCTCTGCTACAGACTCTGCGGGTAAAGCATTGTTCATTTGCTGTTGTTGTTTGTACAAACAATACGTGCATAAATGAAACGTGCAGCTAAAGTTATGAAATCACGTTTTTATTTAGCATTTTCTTGACTTCCAGGTTCCTCACGCAGTTTTGAATTGCATCGAATGTTACTCGCAACGAAATCTGTTTGAAGGCATTCTAAACCAACTCTCCAGCTATGTACCCGGCCCCGACAACGGTTACAGCGCCCTCTACAGGTGTGACAACGTCAATGATTTCATACGTCTCTTGAGGAAGGTCATTGAAACGGAAAAATTTGATAAAGAAACGGTCTATATTGTAAGTGTAGATCAACAGCAATAGCATCTTTTCATATTATGATACAACGCACTAGATCTTCTGGGTATAATGACACAGTTTCTAACGTTAAGCTAGCAACTAAGTGTGTTAAAGTGAAATGTAGAGGTTTATTTAATGAAAAGGTTAAACGGTGGAGATTCGGAATGTGATAGATTTCGATATGTATTGGCACGTAGCTGTACTATTTGATACATCGCTGTTCTCAATATATATTTGCATTGGTTTTGTTTGCATTCAGGTATTGGATAAGGCAGACAGACTAAGAGGTTTAGATCTCACGCTCCTCCCTGCACTGGTTCGACTTCAGGAGCTGGTAAGATGTGTTCCTGGGAAACATACCCCGACTGCTACATTAACTTCATGCATTCTCCATGTCTGTACTTCCTGCCCTGTTTGCTGTCATTCCCCTCCCCAGCCGTTGCGATATTCACTGAGATTGTTTCGTTAAGAGTAGAGTCGTGGTCTTCACGATAACTGCTGTAATGTTGTTCGCTGAATCTTTGTTCCAGACAGGGAACAACGTGTGTGTGGTGTTCATCAGTGAACTGGTCTGGGAGAAGTTCCGATGCGGAACGGGTTTGGTGGAACCGTACCAGATCCACTTTCCAAACTACAGTAGAGGTAACATACATCTATGTTTTACTGTCTCAATTTTTCTCAGAATCGCAGCACGCTCCACTCGGTCACATGCAACCACATTTTCCCCAGCATAGCACTAGAATTGTGTTGAATTCAGTACAGTACTCTCCTAATATCCGTTTAGAGGCCTGAGCTTTTCGCTGGAATTGCGTTGAATGCAGTATGGTTGCCGGCGTATTTCAGCGGAGTTGGTTGAGATCTTGAGTCTCGATTGTCCGTCGGAGTACGGAACAGACTTCTACAGGAACTACGTGAACATGCTGCTGGGTGTGTTCCACCTCGCATGCCGAGATCTCAACGAACTGCGCTACCTGGTGAGCAAATGTAGAAGTTATTTCTCGATCGGTTTCATGCAGCTCGCCCGATGTGAGGTGATCGTTAAATGATCTGCTGCTTCAGTAGTATTTTACGTTTTTTGAAGTTTATTTGAATATCTGTGTAGTTTTCCAATTCCCTGAGAAGTTGTGAAAAATCCGCAAACAAATTATTATTAGTAATTTATTTATTGACCCTCATCTGGTCCCAATTGTATTTTTTCGCGCCTGTCACACATTCTACCTTGATGTGAGTTACGTGTATCACATCTAAACCGGCTATAGACGTTTACACACATGTATTAGCACCGCCTCTAGCTGGTGCTGCCATCTGTTGTTGAATTGATGCAGGCGCAGCTGAACTTTGCTCGGTATCGTAAGCCGGTGGACAGGGGAGAGGCGACGGAACAGGACGTGAGGAAGCTGTGGAAGAACATAGAGCCACATCTGAAGACGGCCATCGATAGCATCTACCTGAGAGAGGTGTCCAGGTACGTGTGCACACCTGGGCTGGCTGCCTGGCGTGTTACCTCTCATGCCCAGGTACTGAGAGAGGTGTCCAGGTGTGTATGCATGTAAAAGAGAGAGAGAGAGAGAGAGAGAGAGAAAGAGAGAGAGAGAGGGAGAAAGAGCGAGAGAGAGAAAGAGAGAGAGAGAGAGAAATCGAGGAAGTGAGGGAGACGGGTTAGGGCAAGTGTGAGGTGGAGGGAAACAAAGGGAATATAATGTGTGAAATAACAAGTGGATATAAGCAGCCTTGGTTATGAGTAAGCCCATGCCCAGACCTACATCCTTCTCCTGTATATACTCGAGCCTCCTGAGAGAGGAGGTATTGTATGCCACGGTACTTCCTCTGTACTGGGGAGGGCAGTAAGGCACAGGGAGGAACGCTGAGTCAACTATTACTCTATGATTTAGTTCTCAGTGGGAGAGAATGCAGAGCCAGACAGCTGATGAGGAGACGATCGATGGAGATCTATCTCAGCTGCCCCAGAGTGAGTACATGACACTGCACCGTGCTGCCATCTAGTGCAGTCTTTAACCGCACTTACTAGAAATGAGAAAAACAAGGTGACCTCGAGAGCTGTTCTTCTAAGTTCATGAAGTTGTATACTGACTACATGCGACAAGGGGTGGGGTGGGTTAAACCCTCACCATGGCATTATAATCCATGACATATATATTGAGCTTATAACATTATAGCCAAAACAGCATGCAGAGTTACAGACGATATGGGGTATCACGCGCATAACTGGCAATAAACGTTGGTATTTATTTGTCATGTTTTATTCATCTCTCCTCAGCTCTCGCTCCGCGTGCCAGCGTAGAGCTGCCCTACTACTCCAAGTTCCTGCTCATAGCTGCCTACCTCGCCTCATACAACCCGGCTAAGAGCGATCGGAGATTCTTCTCCAAGGGCCGCGTGAAACGCACGAAGCAGACCAAGGGAAAGAAGACGGTCAGTATTCTCTCATTTACGATCGCGATCGATTGATTGATTGGAACCGCGATTGATTGATTAATTGGAACCGTGATCGATTGATTGATTGGAACCACGATCGATTGATTGGAACCACAATCGATTGATTGAATGGAACCGTGATCTATTGATTGATTGGTCAAGCAGCACATGGACACCAGTGTATCCTCCTTTGCGGGAGATATGGGGTCCGTCTCGAAAAAAATCCCAGTAACGTTTCCGTAGCGCTAGATTCGTATCGGCTTTCACCTGATACAATTCAGGTTGTTCCCTCGCCGGTGCACAGACTGGTGATGTGCTGCCATCTAGTGTGAATGATGTGTATTACAGGCGAGCAGTCAGCTGCTTGGACCGAAGATATTTGCATTGAACAGACTGTTGGCGATCTTCTACGCGATCGGAGATGAACGCATCGTGCCGACCGCCAACATCTTCACTCAGGTACTGACCTTGACTCTGGCCCTGACCTTGACCCTGACCCTAACCCTAACGGAGACGAACACATCGTGCCGACCGCCAACATCTTCACTCAGGTACTGACCTTGACTCTGGCCCTGACCTTGATCCTGACCCTGACCCTAACGGAGACGAACGTATCGTGCCGACCGCCAACATCTTCACTCAGGTACTGACCTTGACTCTGGCCCTGACCTTGATCCTGACCTTGACCCTGACCCTAACGGAGACAAACGTATCGTGGCGACCGCCAACATCTTCACTCAGGTACTGACCTTGACTCTGGCCCTGACCTTGATCCTGACCCTGACCTTGATCCTGATCCTGACCCTAACGGAGACAAACGTATCGTGGCGACCGCCAACATCGTCACTCAGGTAATGACCTTGACCCTGACACTGACTCTGGCCCTAAACATGATCATGACCCTAAACCCTGGCTGTGACCCTGACCTTAACCCAAACCCTAACCATGATCCTGTCTCTGACCCTGGTACTGACCCTGACACTGGCCCTACCCCTAGCCCTAGCCTTAACCCGAACCCTAACCGTATTGGAGCCAGCGAATGTTAGTGAATTCGGGTTGTCATAGTTTCTCTCTCTGCCACCAGGTGTCGTCGCTGGTCACGCTAAAGCTGCTGGCGCAGGCGAGCGGGGATGAGCAGATCGACGGAGCGAAGTATCGATGTCTCGTCTCCCTAGACTTCATACGATCGATCGGACGCAGCGTCAGATTCAACGTGCTCCGATACCTCTACGACTTCATATAGAGAGGGCGCCACCGCGCACGCGACGATAGCAGGGCGGAGCGTACGATACCTGTACGACTTCATATAGAGAGGGCGCCACCGCACACACGTGACGTTGTGAGATTTCGACGTGCTATGCTAATTGTACGACTTCATGGGGACACAGTAGCGATTCACGTCTGTTGCTGTGATCCCATTAAAAGTGGCCATAGTTGTGTATTTTTTTACAATGTTTCTATTTTTATACACAAATGATAGTAATAAAAATGAAATGTTATAAAACGTCAAATCAAGTGTCGTACTCGATCTCTTTCTATCGCTAGATCTTTTCTCCGAAAGTGTTTGTTAGTCAGCAAATGGAACCTACAGTACATCTCTGTGGAGTACATCTACATCTAAATTCTGGGCAGTAGCTCGACGCGCTGGCTTGCAATAGTTACTTCACTTCACTGCATACGTAGGACACGACCAGGTTGTATACACCAAGTACCGATGGTACATGGTCTAGTGGGAGCAGAAATCAGGTCTCATAAGGTGCCTAGTCGAACCACATTTTCTCGTAGCTCAATAAGAGATATGGGTTGGCGCATTTCCAGTATCTACCAGGATTTTTACAAATGAGAGCATATACTCTTAGAAGATTTGGCGCCAGGGAGGCGGGTGGACTACAGTTCCCCTTGGGAGAAAATTGGTATCTCGCCAGGGAATAATTATCCCTCCCCGTTCCCACCCCACCGTGAACCTTATCCCCAATGCTCCGTATTCCCTAGTGATATCCCTGGTTTCCTGTAAGCGTAAGCCGGTAACGCTCGAGATTTTAATATTGGAATTTTAGTAGCGGATTATGACTTTTTCTGCTACTAGATGGCGCTACCTACCTACAATTGGGAACGGTGACGTCATTGGCGATCTCACGAACTTGATAAATAATCAACATGGCTACGGTATCAGGAGAAGAATTTCCAGGAACTGGAAGCAAACCGAGTATTGTTGATGATTTTATGTACGGATCGAACGTTGCCCAGTCCCACGTTTATATAAGACTAGGTATGTATAATGTATGCATTTTCATTTCACAACACAAAGCTTGATAGTTCATTAGTTGGTCAATCTCAATGCACTTCCTCCGTCTACGTTGCAACTATACTGTGTAGACGTAGTCTGTAGTCTGTATGATTCATCACTTGACTCTTAACCTCATAACCTCATTGAGAATATTCGTTATGTTGTTCGTAGCCCAGGGGACTGTAACGACGTGTGGAATCTGCGTCAGCTCACTGACTGTAGTAGTTGGGATGAATTCTTGTATTTACTACGTGCGTACATAATTTTGTATTGTAATAATCTAATATTGTATGTACATGATGATGTGGCATTATTTGTTGTTGGCAACGTTGCTGATCCTTACTCAGTCGTTACGATTATTGTATTGCTATACGACCCACGCAGTGGCCAACCTCCGAATCAAACTATGACTGTACTTTGCGCTAACACATCGTGTGTTACTGTAGTACCGTGTACTGTATCGTGTGTTACTAACGCTAGTCGTTTGTCATGAGTTTATTGTTATTGTTCCCTGCAGGATTTTTGCGGAAGGTCTATGGCATTCTTACGGCACAGTTACTCCTCACCACGTTGGTTGGAACTATCTTCATCCTCACCCCCGCGGTGCGAGAGTTTGTGCAAAGCAAGTAAGTATATATATATAAGTATATTTTCGTGTAATACACCATCGTATTGTATTCTATTACTTGTAAATGATAGTATTTTAACAGGTTAACCACTGTTGCATCCATCAGATTTTTTCTCCATGACAAAATATGGCACAAAAAGGCGATTTGTGATGGGTGTAGTCCGCCACCGCTGCTTCTGCAACGTTCACAGTCCGCGAAAGTTTGAATGTTTGTGATCTTTTGCAGCCAATGGCTCCTGATGCTGTCGCTGTTTGCCTCCATGGGCCTTGTTATCGCGATGTATGTGAAGAGGATGGAAACACCGATCAACTACATTCTCCTGCTAGTGTTTGTAAGTACAGTCTGAGTCGGTCATGCCTGTATAAGGGTAAAAAATACACGGGAGCGATGAGCGATTCGCTCTTCAAACCTCCGAACTCGCTCCCGTGAGGCTCAAAATAGCTCCCGTGAAATTTTTGACGAGAGCAATTTTTACACAGACTTGAAAAAGAGCTCCCAGAAAAAAACGGCATTTTTTCGCTGGCCTGTATGTGAGGGATAGTGAGGAAATCCTCACAGAAGTGTTCTTTACGGACAGGCGTTCGTTCTGTAGACGTGTCATCTGTTTCACTGTGTAACTCCAACTGTCACTAGTCAACTGCCACCGAGGGCAAATTCCTAAGGTGTCTATTATAGATAGATTATCATTCTAGACTGATTGTCTCATGGGGTAACTGCAACTCAAGCGGAAATATCTTTTATTGGCAATAGTCCGTTCTATAGAGGCTGTATACCTGGGGCCGGTTGCACGAAGCGTGATTAACTTTAATTATAATTAAATCACTAATCATGATTAACCTCCCGTAATTATGATTAGTTTATCATATTTAAAAATCTGTTTCACAAAGTGATTTAATTACATATTTAACTAATCACATAATTAGCCGACTTAAACATTAATTACACTGTAATCAAAATGGCGGACAACGCAAAAAGTACCTGCAAAATGGTACATGAAAAGGAATTAATTTGCAATTATGATTACTAAATTAGTAAAGCTAATCTTAGATAATTTAAATTTCCTTGGGAAAAAATGGAAGTAAAATTTCCAATTGTAAAATCTGCAGCCTACTGACTGTACTAGTATTACCTGCATACTACTACTAGTACTAGCAAATAATCATGATTAGTGGATTTAATCATGCTCCTGAGTAGAATTAAATATTGTGATTAACTTAATCATAATTAAAGTTAATTACGCTTCGTGAAACAGTCACTTTAATTTAATTACGGGAGGTTAATCATGATTAGTGATTTAATCACGATTCAATACTTAATTTCGCTTCGTGAAACCGGCCCCTGATTTATGAAACTGAGAGAGACTTTCATCAAACCAAAAACGAGAAGGAAATGAAGTAAATTGCTGCCACTGACTGGCATGATAATAGAGTTCAAACTTTCCATTTCTGCATACAAATAACGACAAACTTCTTTTTTTCGCAGACCCTGGTTGAGTCTTACGTCGTAGGAACAATAGGTAAGTTATCAGCGACAAGCTTTGAATGCGTAATACATTTCCACAGCGTTTACAATGTTAATTATCTGTGTAGTCGGTGATGTAGTTTGAGTGGGAAGTTAAAGAAAATAAACCAGTGTTTTTGACATAAGCCGGATCTGCGTAATCAGTGGTGTAGTTTGGGAGGGAAAATAAACCATTTTCGTGGAAAAAACAAAGGTGTGGAATCCAGCTGACTCAGACAGAAGACCTCTGCCATACTGGCAATATACATATATACCAGGAAAAATAATTTTTTTATTTCCGGGGCTCTTTTTCCAACTCCTGAAAAAAATTCGGGGGCTATTTTTTCCACTTCGGGGGCTATTTTTTCCACTTCGGGGTCTACTTTCTTTGCACTTGAATAAAACCTTGTGTAATTCACAAAGTTACACAAACCCGTGTTACCCACGTCTGTGGCAGTGCACATTATGGCTGCGTACGTGCCTGCTGGCTAGGGCGGCATTGATTGAAGTATGGGGGGGGGGGGGCGAGTGCACTGATTGTTTCAGTCGCGTGGGGCATGTTGATGGCACCGCTGGTGTGAGAGAGCGACAGCAAAACTCTTTCCTGGAATTGGAAATCTGGAATTGCAACTGCGCTGGAGCCGAGACACTGGCTCAGGCATTGCGGATTTGCAGCAGCTTGCACCTGCAGGCCGTGGCTGGCTAGTGTAACCAGTGTCAATGCATTGACTTCGAAGCTTGCGATCATTACGGGGCGATTTTGAACCGTTTTCTTTTTAACTGTCGCCCCCGTAATCAAATTTTCGAGCGCTCTTTTGGGAATTTCGGGGGTGATTTCACCCGCCGCCCCCGTGTAATTTTTTCACTGATATATACCATGCTGCTTGTTCCCCCGGCAGTGACATTCTACGATCAGATGATGGTCCTGCAGGCGTTTGGCTTGACGTTTGCCGTCGTCGCCGGCCTCACGGTCTACACACTGCAGAGCAAGCGAGATCTGACGTCCTGGGGAGCCGGGTGAGTGTGTGCGACACACAGACAGACAGACAGATGGGCGGACAGACAGACAGACAGGCAAGCAGACAGACAGGCAGACAGACAGACGCACAGAGAGACAGACAGATGGGCGGACAGACAGACAGACAGGCAAGCAGACAGACAGGCAGACAGACCACTCCTCCACCTCGTCGAAAAAAAACTATGGCCACCGACCGTCCGCGCGACCTAATTCGGATGGCGCGGGTTTTCGTCCAATTTTGTTTATGTTAAAATTGTTTGTGTGTTACTTATACCGAAGGGGGGAACTTGTTGGTGCCTGCGTGCAATCTCGATTTAACGAGTTTATTATTCAGTTGTAATTTTATGTACAGTTTTGAAGTCATTCGGCAACTGTGTTCACATATTAGCGTAGTAAAATCGTAATATTAAAAAAAAAAATAAAAAGTGATAAAAATTTCTGCAAATGTAATGGGTGGCAATTCCACTAATAGCTAGGAATATTGGTAACGTTTGCTAACAGCTAGGAATACATCGTCCTGACTAAACGCAAAATTCTCATCGCATTCTCTGCTATTTCCAGGTTGTTCTCCGTCTTGTGGATTCTCATCCTAGCAGGATTCATGCAGGTACAGTACGCACGGACGCACGCACGCGCTCCCTCACCCACTGCCCTCGCATCCACGACCCGCACACTTCCTTGCCCCTATCACATCAGTAACACAGAAAAGCACTCAGTCGTAAACGTACGGAACACGACGCGCCTAACGACACAATAAGTGGAATTGCTACCAGCATGCCGCCATCACCCCGGATGTCAATCCGAATCGCGTCACGAGCGCACGGCGATATTAAACAAGTCGTGACGTTTAGACTGGGACGTCTCGTTAAAAAATCTTGTCGGGTTAGAGAGAACATGTGGGCATGCACGCGACGAGAGACGTCTTAATTATAACTCATTAAATAAGTTCATTCGGTTGCTAGATAGTAGAGCTGAATTTTAATTTTTACTCAACCGTGTGAATCAAAACTTTTACTCAACCGTGTGAATCAAAACGTACTGCTGACGTTTTGCCTCCTATTAAGGAGGCTTTCTCAAAGCTGACTCTTAAGTCTTCATTCTAACTTACTTTAATGATATGAATCCTCGGCAAATGATGGCAGATAATCTTTTCCCGACTAATCGCAACGATGATCGCGAAGGAGATACTTTAACGAAGACCTCGTGTAAAAAAAAATATTTTTTACAATTACATATGTTTATACTTATTCTGATTACCTGTCTAAACTTATTCAGATTATTTATACATTTTACGCAGAATTTAATTTTTCTCGATTTTTCAGTTCTTCCTGCAGAGCGACGTGCTGGAGCTGCTTCTGTCGGCAGGGGGCGCCATCGTCTTCTCGCTCTTCATCGTCTACGACCTGAGCATGCTCATGCACAAGCTGTCGCCCGAGGAATACATCATTGCGGCGATCAACCTTTACCTGGACATCATCAACCTGTTCCTCTACATACTCCGGCTCCTCAACGCTGTCAAGAAGTGAGGGCGAGGAGCCGGCGTCGCGTATGCTGCGTCAGCGAGGGCTGGTATCGTGCCTATATGTCCTTCTACCCCACTACCCTAACCATACTAAACCCTAAACCCTAACCATACACCTAACCCTAACACACCGCCTACTACCTACTACTACCCCATAACCCGCGACCTACCCTAACCATTACTACCCTTACCATAGTACTCTAACCATACTACCTTACGCATCACTACCTCTACCATACTACCCTTACCATACTACCTAACATACTACCCCTAACCATACTACCCTAACCATACTACCCTTACCATACTACCCTTACCATACTACTAACCCTACCCTATACCGATAACTAACCTAGCATATACCGCACTACTACCGCTACACATACTACGCTAGACCCCACTACCCTAACCATACTATACTCTACTCTTATCGCTACTACCCTTTCCCAAGCGCGCTGTTTTTTCCGACTTCGTTATGAGTTACGTTAATGAAAAATAAATTTCACTTCATTAACACTTGTTCAAACCGACGGTTGGATAGCTGAGTTTGTGGTTTCATGTATAAACGAGGTGAATTTCTACGCGGTGAATTCAGTTTGGTATAAGTTGTGTTCGAGCGTAGCGTCAGTATTATGATTTTGCGCTAACTGTGAAATACTTGCTTACCTACTCGAAACTTTTGTCTTGATAATTATAAAGCTTGGGGGCGACGTTATCCATAATGTATTGCATGGAATATCAGTTTATATATGTATAATGAGCAGTATTTCGCGGTTGTGGGGTGGCATGGAAGTGTAACGAATTGTCGAAATATTCAAAATTCCTAAAAAAAAAATGTGGATGACAGATTATTTCGATAGGCTTCATGTATTATGCTGTATATTATAATTATGGTGATGTTAACGTCGAGTAGAAGATTCCGTAATGTAGAGGCGCCCTCTACAAAGTACATTAAATGTAAATACTTTAGAAGATGAATATTGTCAAATAAATTGGCGATGGTTTCTATGGATTAACAATTCTATTATATTCATGTAGTTTGTTGTACCAGATGCAGTCGTCAAGTAGCCTGAGTGTTAGGAAAATGCATTTCATAGAGTCAAGATTGGTTAGAAGACAATTGGATCAATCACGAGAATACAAAGTTATAACACAAATATCTGTAATGTATCAATGTTTCATGATTAACAATTAGCATTGTCCAACACGGGCTGAGAATATAAGAGACAGGTTAGTTTTACACAAGGCTTTGAAGCATTGCCGCATTATAGTAATCACAAGAAAAAACTGGCATGGATCAACTTAAATATGTTAAAATTTTAAAAAGTAGACCACATACATACATTCACACTAAACACGACTATCAATCAATCAAAGGCACGACTGGTCGCTGCTGCCACCTGTAGGCACAACGGTCTCTACATAAAATGCTGCGCAGTTACAAACTTCTTACTAGCCTTGGTTACGCCCCTAATACTGTTTCCATGGTTACTGGCCAGATACGGATATCCGCACCAGGGTTACTGTGTAGATACAGATGCCGTCACCACGGTTACCATCTATACACGCGTTTTCTGGCTCGCTGGCTGGCTACCGTTAAACTACGAATGCCGTATCACAGAAATATTTATACATAATTTTGGCAGATAAGTATAGTACTCTTTAGAGTATAATTGCTGCGAGTTGTTTGCGGTCGATTTCTGACAGACTTCTACTATTTATTAAACGGATGCGCAATGATAACCTAACGTGTGTGTAGCGTGTATGCCATAGCACAAGCGCTGAACACAAATACCCAAATCTACGTCACGATTAGGCCACGCCCCCTTTCAAATCGAATTGCGTCTCGTTGATTTTTCTGGACTTACTATTGCATTAAAAGGTACAAAAACACAAATTTTTGATCAAATACCTAAAGAAAAGCAGTAATATGATAACACATAATTGTTTAGTGTATTTTACTGAAAAAAAAAAGTTCCTTTCGCATAGGCTTTAAGCTACGAATGTTCTACTCACGCTACACGTCAGACGCTCAGGTTGAGCTGTGAATCTCATCCTCGCTGCACTCCGACTGCACACCCCTGCTGTCCGCTTGTTTCCACAGCGAGGCGCTCGCCACCAGGGGGAGTCCCGCGTCAATCCATCCGCCGATAGAATGCCGACTTTGATCTCGCATCACGTAGTTAATCTGCAAGTATTATATGATAGTTGTAGAGTGTGGGGTACCCCTCTATGTAAAAAAAAATACACGGGGGCTCGGGGCGATTTAGCCCCCGAAATGCCAAAAAGAGCCCCGGAAATGCCAAAAAGAGCCCCCGTAAATTTGCATAGAGTTCAATGCAACCAAATTTTAGAGTGCTATTTTCATGCACGCGAGCTTGAAAAGTAGCCCCCGAAAAATACATTTGTTCCCTGACCCCTCTATGTAGGGGTTTATGATGAGTCACCGCCGCGTTAAACCCCCGACTACAAATTAGATCGATAGCTAGAGATATATGCGCCGTGCATGGTGTCAATGCAGAGTCAAACAACAATAGTCATAGAGAAAAAACGATATTGGGTGTACCAACAAGATGGGGGGGCTGGTAAGTTGTGGCGGAGGTTTGCTATCTCCGATTGCTCTTGTAGAATGCGTTCACGTCACCAACCGAAGCTTACAAATGCCAACGACAAACGATAACATAATATTAATGAATAATGTTATCATTTCAGCAGACGGCAAAGGATGAGAAGACGAGAGAGAGAAGAAAGTAAACATGTAGGAAACAGCCATTCACTGAGCAACTGCATAGTAGTAGTATATATATACATATACAGTACAAAATCTATTATCCAAAATTCTGAAAACTGAAAAGCTCCGAAAACCGAAAGTTTTTTCGTGGAGGTCGTCTGCACACCAAAGCTCGCGTTTGGTGCCAAAACTCGACCTGACGAATATTAATGTGTTTGGCTGCACAAGGTTCACTGCAGAAATATTAATGTGTTTGGCACTGCTCATACACTTTGTGCTGTACCGGTACAGCACTTGGCCTCTTGAAAACTTGGGTTTTGGTACTGGCTAGTTGCAGGATATACGGTATGTACATCTGTACTGTTCTACCATTCCGAATTCCGTAAGGTGTGTGGTCCCAAGGGTTTCAGATAATAGATCGTGTACTGTACACCTATACGACACACACACAGACTAACTATCTAACGATGACCAGCGATCCAGTCACCATCACTTGCTCACTGTGACCAATCAGCAGCGTTCGACTTCAACAAAGTCATGGCCGACACCGTCGTCGCCGCTAGTACCTGCAGCTGGAGATAGAGGGCGCTGCTAGTACCTGCAGTTGGAGATAGAGGGCGCCACGCAGTCGCTGCACGTTGTAGACGTGTGTTCGCACCGTGTTGTCGCTTCCTGCCACTCTGTCACTCGCCACGTCTCCGCCGCCGTCCGCCGTAACCGTGGCGACGAACGCCGTGCATCCCTGCAGACGGAAGAGAAACGAACCGAGGTGACGTCGCCGTGGTAACGGTCGTCGAGGACGCAACCGATGAAACGTGGTGACGCAGCTGGGTTGCGTATCGCGTCGTGTGTATTATATCACACGCTAGTCAGTCACTGATGGTTGTTATCATTGCAGTCATAGCAATAATGAGGAATATTGTCTCATCAAGGCATGGTCAGGAATTCTACACAGACACGATGATAATAATGAAGATTCTATATCCAGAATTCTTTCAGGGCGATGACTATGATGATGACGATGATAAGGATAATATTCAGGATTCCTGGATATGTTGACGATGATAATAATGATGACAATGATGCTGATGACAATGATGACATTGACGATGCTGCGTATAGCTGGGCGTGGGTTTCCGCTGGAGATGATGACGATGAAGATGATGATGATGACGATGATAATTACTGTGATGTTGACGATGATGCTATCCAGGATTCCCACTTGGGCGACGACGATACTGACGATGACAGTGCTATGACAACAATCACCCTGACGTTGACGATGACGCTGCGTTTACCTGGGTGTGGCCGAGGTCGGTCACTCGGACGCTGACCACGAGAACGTTGGACAGGTACACGGAATCGGCGCTGAACGGCCGGAGAAAACTGACCTCGACGGTCATCCCGGCGTCGGCCACCGTAAACACCTTCTTGTCCCCTGCAAATGAGCGAACGCCAGCAGGGGTAGAAATTAGTTTGAAAATTTACAGGCCAGCAGGGCCTGTAGGTAAGGGATTTTACAGGCCCGTCAGGCAAATTACAGGCCGTGCCATCTAGCCATAGGTAATTATCTAGCTGTATATTCTATTTATGTACACACACACACACACACACACATATATATATATATACGTATATA